GTGACCTCCCTTTGCAAATCCGCCACAAGTTTACGAACTCCCGTGTGTGGCATGCAGGTAAAAGTAAGGCCGCGTTGCTTCTTTGATATAAGTAACTTCTGTACCCTCTGACTTCTGGGGACACATTTCAGGACGTGAGTTTCTCCTCCTTTCTGAATATCTTAATATCATCTCCATTAAGTCTTTTATGCAAAATAATGAATCTGAGCTCTGACTTTAGCAGGTGTTTGAAAAACATTTTCATCGTATGTATTTGGAGGCCACCCATGCCTGCACAGCCAATTACTGAAATGATGGGTAGGAAAGGGCTTGTAATTGGAGTCCAGACATTGCTGGGTGAGAACTCTGTGTGTGTGTGTGGGGGGGGGGGGGGGGGTACATCCACACTGTACCCTAACTAAACATTCTGGCTTCTCCCCATTTGAACCTGCAGATGGCAATAGCTGTGAGAGCAGCTGGTTAATGAATGTGCCACTTACTTTCTTTGCTGGAGGCAAACGAGAGCAAGCCAGGGATGGGACGGAAGGCAGCAAGCCCAGATTCCCCAGTGCAGAAGCCGTCCAGCCTCTGAGAGGTCTATTGGGAGCCTGAGAAGCCATTAGTTTGTGGTCTGAATATCTCCGCAATCAAAACCTTTATGGGTTGGGTCCTAAAACCCTCCAATGAGAATGTCACCCAGGACCTTACCAGCTAGATGTGAACAGAAGTTGCAGATGTAATGATGCTCTCATTAAAATTCATTTTTATGAAATTTATACGATATGTTATTTTAAATACAAAAGAATCATCCTGTTCTTGTTGCAAAATAACACTATCCTAATAGACATCTCTTACTCTGTAGTTGAAGTCATGGTGGCTAAGGTCTTAAACATCTTTCCTTATCTCTCTTTCTTTTCCTTTTGACATTATTAGGTGAGAAGGCATGCATCTGGTCGACCCTTAGGCTGATGTGCTCTTCCTTTGGGCGAAGAACTTGGCTTTCAGAGCCATCAGATTTCATAGGCAGTAAATTACTTTAGAAAGAATTATTCCCTTGCCTCTTGCAAAAACAAGACACAGGCGGATGCTAATTCATACTTGAATAACATATTGAAAAGTATAAATATATGACCCTATTTCCACGAGAGGCATGAATTATTGATGGTCAGCATGATCTAGGTGTTTGCAGTCAGGTTTCTAACAGATGGTTCCTGCTGGGGAACCTCATACCCCTAACAGATCCTTCCTGCTGGGAACCTCGTATCCCTAAAAGACCGTTCCTGCTGGGGACATCGTATCCCTAACAGATCGTTCCTGCTGGAGACCTCATATCCCTAACAGGTTGCTCCTGCTGGGGACCTCGTATGCCTAATACATCGTTCCTGCTGGGGACCTCGCATCCCTAACAGATGGTCCCTGCTGGGGACCTCGCATCCCTAACAGATGGTTCCTGCTGGGGACCTCGCATCCCTAACAGATCATTCCTGCTGGGGACCTCGTATTCCTAACAGATCACTGCTTCCTGCTGGGGAACCTCGTATCCCTAACAGATGGTTTCTGCTGGGGACCTTGCAACCCTAACAGATGGTTCCTGCTGGGGACCTCGTATCCCTAACAGATGGTTCCTGCTGGGGACCTCGTATTCCTAACAGATCACTCCTTCCTGCTGGGGAACCTCGTATCCCTAACAGGTCGTTCTGCTGGGGACCTTGCATCTGTAACAGATGGTTCCTGCTGGGAACCTCGCATCCCTAACAGATGGTTCCTGCTGGGGACCTCACATCCCTGACAGATTGTTCCTGCTGGGGACCTCGTATTCCTAACAGATCATTCTTTCCTGCTGGGGAACCTCGTATCCCTAACAGGTCGTTCCTGCTGAGGACCTTGTATATTTCAAAGGGGCTGATTACCTCTTCTCATCTTCCACCTGGACGCCGACAGAGTGGTATTCCCGCAGGCCTCGGCTCTCCGTGTCTGAATCTGTGGCTGTTTCCACCTAGTATAACACAGAACATCTTATTTTAGAACCACGACAGGGGACCTGGGTGAGGGACTGTTTTTTGTGTGTGTTCATTTGCTGTAATTAATTGCACATGTAATTAATACAGAGTTGCACTTGACCCAGTAAAAATCACAGAGAGAGGGAAATGCATTGTACTGGTGTAATTACATTGCTACTGCGTTTCATCAAAGTTTACATAACTCCTTGAACTCAGCGTTGTGCTCTGATCTCTTAAACCTATGCAAATACAACTGCTTAGCTCAGCTAAGGCAAGAAAGAGGCTTTGTTGGGTTGCATTATTATAGGGCTGAAAAGCTCCTACCACACCCTACGGTGGAGAAAGTAAGTACAGCACGAACCAGAGAGAGCTTGCAACAACATAAGCAATTTAATGGAAGTATACTGGTGGCGGTATCCACATACAAAAACACACGGCAAGGACTTTCAGTGTGTACCGGGGACACTGAGGCAACGTCTCCGACTGTTCCCACCTGCAGGTGTCTCCTGTTTGCTACGAGGACTGTGTGCAGCTAGGCCATGTCAGAACACAGCAGAGACTGCATTTCCCATGGAGTCCTGATCGTGGTTCTCCTTGCCAAAATCTCTCCCAAACCCAGAAAGCATTTCAGGACCACGAGCAGGGACACACGAGGGAAGTCTGAGACACTCCGTTTTGTGGAAAACAACAACAACAACAACAACAACAACAACAAAAACCTCTTGGTGCGAAAAGTCTGTGAAACCAAAGGTTAGTTTAATCGTAAATATTATCCTGGCTACTCAAACATCCCTTTCCTTTTTCCCAGAAAAGATTACTTACTATATCAGTAGGATTTTGACCCCAATCTAAAATGCCACAGCTAAGTTTGTAAAACACATTTTTTTTCTTAAAAGTATTAATGATTGCCACAAGGGTAAGATATAACCCATTAAACAAACAATTGTGACATTCTCTTCTGTGATGATGAGAGACTGTCATTGTAATTTGTGGCTGTCCTATGGCTGAGCTCATACCATCGAGGGCCAACTAAATTTGTGGCGAAGAGAAATGATCTTGATAGCTGATACTTGTTTTAGGCTTACCCCGCACCAGGCACTGTGCTAAGAGCATAGGAAGTATTATTGCATGGAGTGCCCACGATACTCCTGCTGCTACTTCCTGCCACACTGGACAGCTGAGAATCAGAGAAGGTGAGAAACTTGCCCAGGGGTGCACAGCTCACTAGGGCAGAAGGAGGGTTTACACCTGAGTCTCTCTGACTGTAGCACCAGGCTCTTCCTAATTGTTTGCGGCCGGAATAAATCGGCCGCGTGAAGACTCTGGCACCCCCAAGAATCACCGAGAACACCCCCTCTTACTGCTGGAGTCCCGAACGTGTGCACACAGGTCGCACCTCCTTTGTGTCGCGTGGTTTGACATGGGGTGACCCCTGGGGGAGGGACACTGTTGAATCAAAATCCTATCCCCACTGCCGTCTCTCCTTCCCTCTCCAGTTTTAAGGGGGTCATGGCTTTGATGAAGTTCACCTTCCTGGTCGTGGAGACTGTTACCACTATTATCTTACACAAAGGATCACAATAAAAATTAAAGTATTTCGAACGTCGTCCCTGTCAGAGCAAACAGAGCTGCCTTGTGTCTTATCTGCTTGCTATTCCGTTTTATGAACACGACCTAATTTACCTGTAATCAGTCTTCGCTGGAGGGGTAATGTGCTTATTTCTAGTTTTCTGCCATTATTTATGCTGCTGCTATAGATATGGGTGTGCACGTGTGTGTGTGCTTTTGTGACTATTTTCACAGCACAGGTGATTTCTGGGTCAAAGGTATTACTGTGCTTGACGATTTTGGTCGATGTCGTCGAATGTGATAGACTCATAATATGGGGGAGATCACTGCGTACATATGCTTTTAGAAAGACTTTTGTAATGGAAAGAGCACAGGGTTTTATCACCAAGATGTTCAGAATATTTGCTTCACTTCTACTTTAGGATTTTGGTCTACCAAATTACCTTACTCTGGCAAACATGTGAGGCGTTCATCGTAGCGGTATGTAGAAGGTGAAACACAGCGGGTAGTCATGGAGGAGAACGGTGACATGGGGTCGGGTATGATTTGCTCAAGACACGGAACGCTATGCAGTTGCGACACGGAAGATGCTTATGGTCCAAGGCACACTAGCAAGTGGCGTGGACGGTGCAGTCGGGAGCTGTGTGCGTACACACAAAACACGCACATATTCATGGGCATGTGAACACGTTGCATAAGTGACTAACGCATACAAGCAGACAATAAGACATTTTCTCCCCTTGTCCCATCTGCACATCCCCTCCGCTGGACCCCTCTTACGTTCCTAGCACATGAGGAGAGTACAGCTTCTGGAGTCAGGTTCTGCTACTGCCTGGCCCTGTGACCCTCCGGTGAGTCTCTTAGATTTGGTTGAATCTCTTCTTCCTCGTCTCAAAGATGAGGGGACATCGGACACTTCATTTAATTGTAAAACGCCACAGGAAGCCAGAGTCACGTGTGTCTGTCCACAGCAAGTGTTAACGCTCTGTCTTTGCACCTCAACTGTTAACAGTCAGGTGTGTATGATATGGACATTAAGTTTGAGGAATTTCACAGATTTACAGTGGTTGTCACGTGTAACTTTCTTGAGGGAAAAACGTAGTTATCCCTATTTTCAGAAGATAAGGGCTGAGGGGGATGGTAAAATCATGTATCGCCTGGATAAGCTAAATATTTATCCATTTTGGAAATCCTGGGACCAGAGACCCTTGTATAGATGGAAAAAAAAGCAAATTTAGGACACAGGAAAGGAATTACTACTTTACACAGTGGGAAGGAAATGAAAGGAATGTCTTCCCAAGAGGAGACTCTGGCTAGAAGGGTCGAGTGATCTTAAAAGGTTTGAGAACTATAGACCGATGTTCATTTTCACAAGACGGGCCATGGACTAGGCTTCGAGAGGAAAGCTGTATTTTAAGCGAACCCTTTCTGAAGGGCTCCCTGATGCACGGGGACAGACGCCTCCCCAGTCACCGCAGTAGGTGGCGAGTGCCGTCACGGAAGACCGTCCTGGCTCTGCGCACCCTGCAGCGGCTCTCCCTGCATGAGGCCAGAGCACTGGAAGCGGAGCCGTGTGCCGTGGGGAGAGGCAGGGAGGGGGGCTTCTAAATACGGTCCATGCTGTTGCGTGCGTGTGCGTGTGACTGTGTCCGTGTGTGTGTGACTGCGCGAGTGTAGTGTGTACGTGCAAGCGTGCATGTGCATGCGTCTGCGTGTGCATCCACATGCCTGGCTGCACATGGGAGCACACGTGTACGTGTGACCATGTGTGCTCCAGCAGGTGCACAGTGAGTCTATGTGAGCACACATGCACGAGCGTGCACACAGCACATGCACGAGCATGCTTGCACATGTGTGTGGGTATGAACACGTGTGAGTGTGTGTGTGTGAGGTGTGAGCCCACGGGTGCGTGCGTGTGTTGCGTGTGCATGTAGGTGTGTGCAGACCCGTAAGCACAAGTGTACACAGGAGTGTGTGTGTGTGTGTGTGAGCATCCAGGCACACACGTGTGAGCATGTGTATGTCAGGGAGTGTGAGCTGGACGGGAGGCGGCCCCTGTGCGCCCTGGCTCCCGTCTCCTGCACGTAGGGGTTTGTGGGAAGTCAGCTGACGAGCTGCTGTCTGAGCCTCGCTTCCCCAGGACCCAAGAGAAGGGTCCAGGCAGGCAGCCGGAACCGCCGTGGGCCGCGGCTCCAAAGGCGCGTCTTTGGCGGCTAAACGCAGATCGCTTCCGCTCTGCCTTCAAGACCTGGCGTGCGGCTGGGCAGGCGCACGGTGGCTGTGTCTCCCTCGGGGACCTGTTCCACGTCCAAGAGAGAAACGTGATCTGCCGGCCTGCCTGCTGGGAGAGGCTCAGCGCAGCTCTGAGAGCAGGTGGCGGTGGGGGGGGGCGGGGCTTGCGGGGACGTGCGGCGGCTCAGGCTGGCGAGGGAGAAGTCCACGCCGGCGGGCAGACCCACGCTCACTCAGCCGGACGTTTGAGTGGAGTAACGAGGGGCCTGCATCGATGCCTCCGTCCAGTCCCACAACCCCGGGCTGCAACAGACCGTCACCGCTCGCGCGTCTGGCCGGGACAGCTGAGGCAGGGGGCCTGCGCGTGGAGCCGAGCCGTGGCGTCCGGGGACAGGAGACACCTTGCGAGGACTCACAGACACAGACGCAGACGCACAAGCAAAGAAACCCCGTGGTGATGGACCAATCACAGACACGAACAGAAGGGGAACACGAAGGAGAGAGGCACGCATCACCGTCGAGTGAGGGAAAGGGGGGTGGGGTGTCACGGTACTGCCTCTCACGCGGCTAACGCTGAGGAAGGCCTGGGGTCCTTTCCCCAAACCCGCAGAAACGGCGGGAAGATGTCGTGCGGTGTGCGTTATCTGGTGTCCTCGTGCAGACGAGAGCCCGCCGTGGTTGTGGGAGAGTGGTCGGCGGTCAGGCGGGCCTCCCCCCGGGAGCCGGGCCGAGTGTGTGCGACGCTAGCCACCTTCCTCTACAGGCGACGGGACAGACCGGGGCAGACTGTGCTCATCCACGCGAGTCACAGGAACCGAGCCCGGTCAGGCTCGCAGAGGGCACCGTGCGGCCCTTCCCTCGTTTCTCCCGCAACGCCCCCCTCTGTCCTTTGACGTCACGGCCGTGTACCCGGAGGCAGGTCCCGTACCCCCGAGCCTCAGTCTCCCCGTCGGTAACTCGGATGTGGTGACAACAGCTCCTGGGGGTATGAGGTGAGAACGGGCCCGTACTGGGGAGCCAGGGGCACAGCGGTGTCGCGAGCTGCGCCTTCACAGCGCGGCCGGCCGGCTCCTCCTCCGTGCCCTCGGGGGTCTTTGGGGTCTTGCCCTCCGCTTAAGTGGCCCCTCACCCCGTTTCCTCGTGCTTTCCTCTTTGAGTGAGCTGCCTGCACTCCCACCTGTCACTTCTTTGACTTATTTACGCTAAGACGGGTTTCTGTGACGACGTGTCCTCTTGGCTCCTCCGTTCTTTGGTCTGACAACTGCCAGGTTACAGGCTCACAGGATAGTGTGCATTTTTTCTGCCACAAAACAGAGCTGAGTCCCGCACACGCGCGCACTCACACTGGTTCTCACGGACCACTCGGCCACCGTCACCCGCGCGCCACTTATCCAACATTTACCGAGCACTTGCTATGTGCCAGGCGCTGTGCTAGGCGCTGGGGTGTGAAGAGGGGGAGGGGCAGCCCTCCCAGACACGCGCTCCGGGGGCAGCTCCAGGAAGGGCTTCTGGGGAGGGGTTTACGCGGGAACCGCGGGAAGCAGTGAGTGGTGGCAGCGGGAGGAGGGACGTTCCCGCAGAGGAAAGGCGTGCTTGCGAGAAGCACAAAGGGCCACGGGGCAAGTAAAAGTGTGGGGGCTTCTGGGGGGGGGGGTGAGGCGGAGGCAGGAGGGGGCACTGCCGAGCGGCCGGGTAACCGAACGCGACACGTGTTCCTGCTCTTAGCAGACAGTGTCAGAGGCCGACATGCCCCTCCTTGTGCACGGCTGGCGTGGGCAGCCAGTTGGAAGCCGGTGGCAGGGGAGAAGGCCAGAGGGTGCAGGGGCGCCCGGGGGTGTGGAGTCAGCCTCCTTAACTCAGGGACCACACACGTCTTCCCTGGAGACGTGACTTCAGAGCCAGGACGGCCAGGGACCCTGGAGCCCCACGTCCCGCTGCTGTGGCCCCGGCAAGCCCGTCGACTGCGGCGTTACCGGCCTGGTTTGAGCCTCATCTTTGCCCTCATCAGAGTGGCATTAATTGCACATCACTGGGGAGGCGGTCAGTGGGGAGCACCTAGCATAGCGCCTGGCATATAGAATCAGGACAGAGAGAGGTGACAGAGCGTTTGTATGAATAATCCAAAACGGAGAGAAAATAAAAATTCATGCGTACTTGGCTTTGGAGTATATCTTGGTACTTACATCTGACCTTGGGTATGGCTGATGTTCTGGGAATTCAGAATCCTAAACAAAACAATGAAGCCACAGTGTGGAGACCTGGTTCAGATGACCTAGTCGAGCGGGCGGTCTCCCCAGCCTGCTCTCCCGTGTCCCTGGGATGCCCGACACGTCATGCCCCCTCATGTCAGTGCCTGGCACGCGCGGCCCCCGGTCGGGGCTCCGTTCACCCTCTCCCTGGCGGCCAGGAAGTCCTGATTTTACAACTTCCGGCTGCACACAGGCTGTATGGAGGCGAACCGCGCTTGGAGAGCCTCGCCGTGCGGCAGAATCTTGTGGGGAGAGTCACCGAGGCAAGACAGGGTCGGCGTGAGGGTGACCTGTGCCCCTGACTGAAAGGGGGCTCCTGGGTCCTCACCACGTGCCTCCCGCCCCCTGCCCGGAGGCCGCGGCACCCTGTGCAGGCAGCGCGTCGGGATCTCGGGTGGGAATTGGGGCCTCGGGGTGCCGTGATCCCTCGGTGGTCTGAAACTACGGGCCTGGCTTTGCCTCCCCCACTACAGGCCCAGAGCGCCCCACGGCCGGCGCACAAGCGCCTTCTGGGGGCCGTGACCTGAGCAGCTGTGGGCTTGCCTCAGTCTTTCTTCCTTTTGCCGTTTTATTCCCAATGCCCTTTCCCCCCACTTAAGTGTTTGGCCAAAAGACTGAAAGGCTTTCAAAATACCAGGGTCCACCCAAAATACCATCCTTCTGCAGCATCAAAATGAGCTGTCTGCACACTCTCTAAGTGGCCGGTGGCCCCTAGAAATTGCCCTGGGGGGTGGGGAGCCCAGGGTGGCAGGGGCGGGTGTGAGGCGGGGGCCCCAGCTGCCCCCCGGGGGGGGGGGGGCGCCGCCTGGCTGCAGACTTGCAGGCTGCGGACAAGCTGGGACCAGCTCTCGCGTCGGCGGCCCTCAGAGGCCGCGCTCCCCGCCAGGGCCCCAGGGCGGCCGGGCGCCATGTGTTAGCCTACGCTATTCGCAGAGCCCGCTGAGCAGGCGGCAGAGAGAGTCTACCTGGATCCCGATGGAGGAGCGCCGGCTCTTGAGGAAGTCCTCCGCCTTGGACACCAGGACGGCCTTGTCGCTGGTCCGCGTGGAGCCGCTCTGGCCCTCGGCAGCGAGGCGCTGGGCCGCGGCCGTCTCCAGGGCGAGGCTCATGGCCTTGTTGCTGTCCAGACTGTCCGTGGAGTTGTAGAGGCCGCGGCCATCCTGGGGCCACGGGGACGCCCTCTGGGCGCGGCTGTCCTGGTAGGCGTCCTGGGTGGACTCCGTGCTACTCTGCGCCGTCACCGAGATCAGGGGCTTGGACGTGGTGCGCGGGGGCACGGGCGGCGGGGTCTTCTTGTAATTCGCGTACGACACGGCTGCGAGGGAAATCAGAGTCCCATCAGCAGAAGCACCTTCCCCTCCCCCGCCTGGAAACCGGGTCCCCCGTCCGCCCCCCTACGACCCGCCGGGCCTTTCGGAACCTGGGGCCTAAGAAGTAGCGCAAACCGTGGCGGGAACCGTGTGCTCACCGAGTCCGCACAGATACACTCATAACAGAGGAAAAGGGTGAAGCCCCCCAAAATGCAACAATGGCGACCAGACTAAGGGAGTTCTGACTCAGCAGGACAGACGGCGAGCATCGTGGGCAATGCTCGTGTCTTCGCGCCCCGCTAAGAAGCACGACACGCTAAATTATGTCCAGATGAAGGAGGAATGTACTTCAAAGAAAACCTGTGTACGGAAAAAAGGTTAGAAGCACAGAAAACCTTCGCCAGGTCATCACCGAGGGAAAGCGTGGCTGACTGTTGTCTCCTTCGCTTCTGTGTTTGAGGAATGTTTGTGATGAGCAAGTTCTATTCTTCCAACGGACACGAATGTGATCTGAGAAGCTTGCTCCCTGTAAGGACATGCTTACTGGGAGTAAGCATAGGCATCGGTGGAGAAGGGACACCGGGATCCCAGATCAACCCCCGGCCCAAGCCTCGCTCACGTGTGTGCCCCTCACCAGCCGCCCATCTCCCCCTGTCCTTCACATCGGGCTTCTCCACCCCCAGCCACAGTCCATCCACCGAAGAATACAGACGCATCTGGACGTGGAGTTAAATTAAATGTCTCTGAACTCATTAGACACCTTTGCCGGGCTCAGCGTGTTACTTATTTTTCAAGTGACGACGAACTAGTCCTTTCTCACATGAATGTGTTTTCCATTACAGCTGATGATTTTCCTTTTTTAATTAAAAAAGAAGTTTAAGTTTTGAGAGACAGAGACAGAGTATGAGCAGGGGAGGGGCAGGGAGAGCTGGAGACACAGAATCTGAAGCAGGCTCCAGACTCTAAGCTGTCAGCACGGAGCCTGACGTGGGGCTTGAACTCACGAACCGTGAGACCATGACCTGAGCCGAAGTCGGACGCTCAACCGACTGAGCCACCCAGGCACCCTGATGATTTTTCTTTATGTGGAAAGAAGAGCCCACAGAAGTGCTTCTGAAACAGACTCCTTCACCACGGTGCAGTGCAAAAACGCACGCACGCGGTCCATAGGCAGGTGAGGGCTGCTGTGTGCCCGGCCGCATGTGCAGGGGAGCATCTCCTGGGGAGCACTTGGCATTCCCCCCCAGCGGGGAGAAGACTGGGCAAGTTTCACCTACGATTTTCAGAAGCTGTCCCGAGTCACCGTCCTGCTGCGGCACTTGGGAGCACAGGATTTCCCCTGTTCTGTTCCTGAGGATTTCAATGCCCTTCCCTGTTCCCTATCCTCTCCCCCAATTACTGCTTAATCTGTGTTAATGGGTTTTCCTAATAAATAAAACCTCAGATGTCATTCCAAATAAAAGTCGGCAAATGACAAAATAAAGCGAGTTTGTCACGTCAGGATGATCTGAGTTTAAAGGCATCAAAACTGCACGTGAAAATTTATGAAACGGACACATTTTTAAACGAATGCATCAAAAGAGACTCTGGAAGGTAGGGAACAGATGGAGGGAGACAGTTTTTGGAAACACAGGCTTTGAACTCTGTCTACACAGAGGAGCATCTAAAATCACCTTTCTTATTTTAAAGATTTCCCCCCTAATGTGGATCAAGCTGTGAAAGGAAGATTATTGAACACGGACCATACTCGAGGCGTTATTCTAGGAGATTCAGACACGCACGCAGTATGGTTCCTGAGCTCAAACACAAACTGCTTGACGTGTTGAACATAAGGGTGCGGGCCTCGGGGGTGGAGGCTGTTGGTGCCTTCTCTGTGCCGCTGGGCACTGTTCCCTGTCCCGGGACATCCCTCTCATCTCGTGTCCTGGGGTCACCTCTGCCGAACCCCTGCCTTCCCCGGAGGGCTTGGACATCCTCCTCCGGGAGTGTCCCGCCCTTGCTGTCAAAGTGGCTGAAGTGGCTAGGTTGGTGGCAGAGGGCTCGGTCTCCATCGGACCACAGGGAATCGCAAGGGCACTCGCCCCTGCACCTACCCACTGACGTGTGGTGGGTCTGCTTGGGTCTCTGCCTGTGAGACGCTCGCTGCAGCCGCCTGCCCTCTCCCGCCCTCCCTGTTCCTTCTCTTCCTCTCTGGCTCCCGCAGCTTCCCTGTCACTAAACTTCAGAGGCCACCAAGCCCTTGCTCTGCTGGACTTTACCTCCTTCCCCGCTCACCAGCCGCCTCTCAGCCCCACGCTCCTGAACCCTGTGCGGCTCCCTCTCGGGTCTGTAGGGATCCACAGGAGGGTCTCTATGGGACTCACCGCAGGTCAGCGGGCAGGTATCTGCCGAGGGCACCGTGGGCCACGGTGGGGCTGCTGCCGGGGAAATCCACAGAAGCGGGCCCGCTGGCCCCACAGGCTGCGGTGTTCAACCTCAGAGCTG